GATTGTATTGCCAAGCCCTGATAAATGCTTTTTGAAAATCTAAGTAAATTACATTTATTTGCACTCCTCATATACACATTATTATAACAATTCAAGAATAATGGTAAGTACTATTTATTCTCTACCATGTACCAAACACTGTTCTAGAATGTTTTTACTATCTTATTTAATTGTGATGCTCTGAAATGTAGATATCATTATTATTTCACATTAAGAAACTGAGGCTGAAAGCTCAGAGAATATTCCCAGACCTGCATTGTATATATAGGTGGTGGAGGTCAGATTTCACATCCAGGTTTTTCTAAAACCTCAGCATATTGAACAGGAATAATTATCCAAGTACATAAATGTAGAATACTACTTTCTCCCCAGTAACATTAATTGGAGTATTTGTTATAAATTAGGTACACCCTGAAGGAGATTAAGAGATACAAACCTCCAGTTGCATAATAAACAAGTTATGGGGATATAATATAAAGCATGGGAACATGGTCAATGATACTGTAGTAACTTTGTATGGAGATAGATGGTTTCTAGACTTACTACAAATTTGGAAAACTCAGCAGTGGTCACAGGACTGGAAGAAGTCAGTTTTCATTCCAAACCCAAAGAAGGGAAATGCCAAAGAAATGTTCAAACTACTGCACAAATGCACTCATTTCACATGCTAGCAAGGTAATGCTCAAAATCTTTCAAGCTAAGCTTCAACAGTACATGAACCGAGAACTTCCAGATTTAGAAAAGGTAGAGGGACCAGAGATAAAATTGCCAACACCCATTGGATCATAGAAAAAGCAAGAGAATTCCAGAAAAGCATCTACCTCTTCTTCACTGACTATGTGAAAGACTTTGACTGTGTGGATCACAACAAACTGTGGAAAGTTCTTAAAGAGATGGGTATACCTTACCCGCCTCCTGAAAAACCTGCATGTAGGTCAAGAAGCAACAGTTAGAATTGTCCATGTACCAATGGACTGGTTCAAAATTGAGAAAGGAGTATGTCAGGGCTGTATATTGTCACCCTATTTATTTAACTTATATGCAGAGTACATCATGTGAAATGCCAGGCTAAATGAATCACAAGCTGGAATCAAGATTGCTGGGAGTAATATCTACAACTTCAGATATGCAGATGATACCACCCTTATGGCAGAAAGCGAAGAAGAACTAAAGAGCTTCTTGATGAAAGTGAAAGAGGAGAGTGAAAAAGTTGGCTTAAAACCCAACATTCAGAAAACTAAGATCATGGCATCTGGTCCCATCATTTCATGGCAACTAGATGGGGAAACAGTGGAAATAGTGGCTGACTTTATTTTCTTGGGCTCCAAAATCACTGTAGATGGTGACTGCAGCCATGCAATTAAAAGAGGCTTGCTCCTTGGAAGAAAAGCTATGACAAACCTAGATAGAGTATTAAAAAGCAGAGACATTACCTTGCTAACAAAGGTCCATATAGTCAGTTATGGTTTTTCTAGTAGTCACATACGGATGTGAGAGTTGGACCATAAAGAAGGCTAAGCGATGAAGAATTGATTCAAATTGTGGTGCTGGAGAAGACTCTTGAGAGCCCCTTGGACTGCAAGGAGATCCAACCAGCCAATCCTAAAGGAAATCAGTCCTGAATATTCATTGGAAGGACTGATGCTGAAGCTGAAGTCCCAATACTTTGGCCACCTGATACAAATAACTGACTCATTGGGAAAGACCCTGATGCTGGGAAAGATTGAAGGCAGGAGGAGAAGGGGGCAAGAGAGGATGAGATGGTTGGATGGCATCACTGACTCAGTGGACATTAGTTTCAGCAAACTCCAGGAGATGGTAAAGGACAAGGAAGCCTGTCATGCTTCAGTCTATGGGTTAATTAAGAGTTTGGACATGACCAAATGATGAACAACAACAAGATATTATTATCATTGCATAATGAATGCTAATGTCAAATCATTATAAAACACACATGAAACTAACATAGTATTATATGGCAACTAATTTTCAGTAAAGGTTTTAAATAAATGTCTTGTTAAAATATATTTGAACCACCATTACAAACTATCTGATATTTTCAATTTATACTTTCACAGCCTTACCTGTTAAAAACATTTAGAAGGTTATAACAATTTTACATTTAGTGAATGAATAAAAGCTTTGAGCATTATGTAAAACTGGTGCTGAAATATTATGTTTTTCACATACTTATGAATTTAAGGGCATTTCATAATTTTAATAAAAAATGATAGAATGGCTGAATTTACTGCTTCGTTCTATAGATGAGCTCAGCAATTTAAGGTGAATTGTGTTGTTACATAGTTTAATACAAAAGTTGAAATTAATATATTATTTTTGTGTATTTTGTTCATTACAGAGCTTAAACATGAATATATTTTTTAAAAAATAGAAAAAAGGTTCTTCTTCAATCTCCCTGAGGAAAAATATATCTTTATGCATAGTAGTGATAATTAAGAAATAATAAATACTTTTGGTTTTCAGAAGGCAAAATGTACCACTTTAAAAAAATAAATAAACCAACTCCACTTGCTTCTATGAAAGTCTATAGTTTCTATCCCTCACTCTGAGCCCTTAAGGTGAGAATCATATGGGAAATGAACATGTCGTCAAGGACAATGACTAGTTTTATTTTAATCAATCTAGAAAGACTCTGTCTGCTTCAAGAAGAATAAAACTAAGTGCAGAAAAACCTTTGTAATGTCTTCACAGGACTAAAAGTATATTCAACCATCTGAGTTTATTTTGGTTATTATTGTCATTTTGTTTATTTTCATTCTTGTAACTGGATCATAGATACTCTGATTCTGAAGACACAATTCCAGCATTTTGGGAACTTTTATAAATTGGTACATTCTCTGAAACACCAGCAAAGATCTTTTAGAAGGCTTTTCCTTATTCATCTAACTTGGTGCTTATGCCCTTAGAATATATACCCAAGTTTCATGAGAACAGATTTTTAAAGATATTTGTATAATGTTAAATCTTATAATTATAAAAATTAATGTCAATACTAAGGCTATTGAATACCTGAGAAAGAAGCTCAAAAGCAAGGGAAGTTATTAATTGAAAGAAAGGTGTGGTGAAATCAGGTAAGAACTATATCATACTTTTGGAAAATGGGACTCAAGGAAAGAAACTACACAGCTAGCACTAGCTATCTCACTGTGGTAAGTCTTGGACCACAAAGTGTGGTAAAGAAGGGTCAGTGTTGAAGATCTGTTTGCAAATATCTCCCTTATTTATTCTAGCAGCTGTATATTAATTTTGCTTAATAAAAAACCCTTTCATAAAATGTAAATATACCCTTAGAGGGATAAATCTACTGGTTTTTCATATCTTCACTGTGAGTTACTGTAATTAGATTGTGTACAACTTAAGTAAACTTTTGGGGAATGTGAGTTTTAACTGAAGCGAGGAACACTTTAGAGCAAAAACCATAAAGATCTCTAAACAGTCTAAGGATAGAACGGCTGAGAAAGGTGGTATGATGAGACACTAAGGACAGGCAGTGCTAGTAAGAGGGAGTGAAAAAATACCTACTTCACAATTTTGCCACAGAAAAATAAAAGGTTATGCTTCAATAATTTCAAAGTTTCCTTCCCTTTCTATAATTCTATGAGGGCTATTGTGCAAAGAATAAATGTATTGCATACCAAATCATAATATATTACACTTTCCTTCCTGGAATCTACAACATCCAACTATTAAAGCAAGAGTTCTATTTCCTACCTCAACAACATAAAAGATAAAAATGTATCAAAACTAGTTCCAGACGACAAAAGAGCTTTTTAGTAAATTAACAGTGCACCCTTCAATACTGTGATCATCAGTATTTGATAAATGACTGAATGAAATCAGGGGCCCAAAAGAGATACAGATACAGGGGCCCAAAAGATTTTAGAATGATCCAGAATCTTTCCCCAGAAATACACTAAGAACTCCCATCAGTCAGAGACACCAAAAGTCAAGAAAGGAAAGAATATTTTCCTACCAACCTAAACGCATTCTCCTTTCCATTTCCCTTTGCCCCTCATCCACTTGTCACCTTACTACAGTTGTTCCTTGAGTAACACGCACAGGGCTGAGATTCACAGATCCATTTATATGCAGAATTTTCCCCCACTAAATAGAGTACCTGTATTTTCATCTTACAGATCTTTAAAATTAATGAAGTGTGAGGAGAAGTATGTGTTCCATTAGAGGTCACACACATGGAATCAAAACACTAGAGTTTGAGTCTGATTCTACCCAACGGCTTCAGCTTCTGGACCTCCGGTGAGTCGTGTATCGACTCCCTGGTTTCTGAGGCAGAGACAGCAATAAGTGGATTTTCCACTGTGTGAGATCGACACCCCTAACCCCTGCGTGGTTCAAGGGTCAACTGTACCTTCCTTTCCACCTCTGAATCGTCCACCAGTCAGCTCTGACTCTATCCATAGTCGCCTCCAGACCTACCTCACATAGTGTCCCTTTCTACCTGCTGTTGTGCTTAGTCGTTCAGTCGTGTCCAACTCTTTGCGACCCCATGGGCTGTAGTCTGCCAGGCTCTCTGTCCATGGGGATTCTCCAGGCAAGAATACTGGAGTGGGTTGCCATTTCCTCTTCCAGGGATCTTCCCAACCTAGGGATGGAACCCAGGTCTCCCGCTTTGCAGGCCTATTCCTTACCGTCTCAGCCACCAGAGAAGCCCTGCTGGTCTCACTTAAATCACTCCACTTAGAATTACCCACACCTGCGGCTTCCATCCGCCTGCTTCTACCGGCCCCCTAGCAATTTCCGGATAAGGCAGCGGGTTGCTCAGCGCACCCCATTCTCCCACAGAATAAGAGGATCTGTTCGAAGACGACTTGGAGAGGGTTGTGCTTCTGCACACCCAAAACCAGAACTCCTCCCTTTCCCCTCGGGCGTCCTCACCCACAGCGCACAGTGTGGAAGGCGCAGCGAGGCTGTGTCTCAAAACTGCCCCCTAATTTGAGAACTCGCTCGCGGCTGTCAATATGCGAAGGTCCAGCTGCTCCATTCATCCTTCTCCTGCGGCTGACTTTACCTGGGCCGTCAGCGCCCACTACCAGGTGTCAATTCAGCCTGAACCAGTTGCGCTGGCTGCTGCCAGTGCAGCCACTACGGTCTCCGCCCCGCACCAGCCGAACGCCGTCCCACTGGGCGCTGATTGGCTCCCTGGAGAAGGGCGCCCCGCCCCTTGGCCGCGAGGCTCCGGGTCCCTGCGCCGACTTCACGCGTTGTGACGCACGCAGCCCCCGGTAGGCCACACCTCTGAGGTAACGTGCTGGGAGCCGAGTTCTTTAGTGGAGCGACGCAAGGCTGGAATGAGGTAGCCGACTTCAAGTGGCGTCTAGGAAGAAGGAGGGCCCTGGATACCCAGAGGGCAGGACCACAGGCTTCTGGACCAAGCAGCCCGTTTTTTAGGAGCTCTTTGAAGGAGAACCGGCCTTTTTGAGGAGATGTGGTGTGGAAACTGAGGAGGGGGAGGGCCGGAGCGTGGGCGTGAGGCCTGATGTCCGAAGCCTGGTAGCGCCAAAGCCGAGTCTAGAATCCGGAGTAAAGGAGCCCGTGGCCTCAGAGCGCAGTCTATGGATCTGACTGGAGGCGACGCTGTTACCTTAGCGGTTGTTATTTGGATAGGGGGAGGGATTGAAGTGGGGAAGGGGGTGTTAAGAAAGGTGAGTAAAAAAGGTTCAGAGTTAAGATCTGAAGATGCTTAGGATCAGTTGCAGCTACATTACGTTGGGTTGCCTGCCTTCTTCATTTCTTCCCTTCACAGGGATCCTTGGCGGCATCAAGGACACGGCCTCATAGAAAAGATTCTCAGAAGATCAAGGCCAGAGCGTGTGCTCTGGCAGCAGGATAGTAGCTTTAATTATTGAAAAATAATTGTCTTTTTTTTTTCCTCTGTCAAAAGTTCATGACTTTAAGGGTAAAGGAGAGAGATATGCTATAGTAGAGGAGAAACACAAGAGAAAGTTTACAAATGGTTGCCTTGACAGTGGTGGCTTTTAAAGGTGATTGTGTAATCAGAAAACTTCCATACTTAACTGCTATCTTCGCCATATTTTTCATTTATTGTTCCAGGCAGGTAGATGAACGTGGCTCCCTCAGCCTATCTGCTTCTCTAAATTCTGCTCTTTTAAAGTATACTTAGATTGCTTCCTGTGGTATTAAGCACGCAGGTTCTGGAGCCAGAATCTTTGAAACTTTACCCTCATACTCTACAGTGTGACTTGTGCAAACCAAAGTTTAGTATGCTCATAATTAAAATTGGGAGGAAAAAATAACAGTACTTATACTTTACAGTTGTTGAGAGGATTAAATGAGTTAGTGAAGAAGTGAAAGTTGCTCAGTCCTGTCTGACTCTTTGTGATCCAAAGGACTCTTTTCAAGCCCACCAGGCTCCTCTGTCCATGGAGTTCTCCAGGCAAGAATACTGGAGTTAGTAGCCATTCCCTTCTCCAGGGGATCTTCCTGACCCAGGGATCAAACCTGTGTCTCCTGCATTGCAGGCAGATTCTTTACCTGCTGAGCCACCAGAGAATCCCAGATGAGTTAGTACAAGAAAGCATTTAAAATAGTTTGTGCCATAAGTAAAAGCTCTGAATTGTTATTATTTTTGAGACTTTAGTGTCATGCAACATTAAAAACCATCTTTGGTGGCTGCTTTCTTTTCTAATTCTTGAATTATTTTACGAGGTGTAGGAATTATGATTTTGTTTACAGGTAAGAAAACTTGTTCATGGAGCCTAGTCCTCTGACTCTCTGGTCATTATTCTTATCTATTTGGCATTTAACACATATATGCATATTTTATTTTACCTATGTGTATATATGGGTGTGTGTGGACACTTTTATTTCCTAACCAGAATGTGAGCAGGGAATCTGTACTATATAAAATCCTAGACTTTTACATCTAACATAGAGTCCTAGGCATGTTTGGTGATGATGATGATGTTTCAGTGATGTTTTATTATGGTAGCCAGAGGGCAGGAACAGTGTTTTAAGCCGACTTTACTTTAAAAAGGCTTTCAACCTTTTAAAATCTGAGGTTTCCATTTTATAACACAGAGAAAAGTAGACGTCAAGAAATTGAGGTTTCGAAATACCCAAGTTTGTGCATTTAATCATTCTTTCAACCTGTATAAATAATAAGTATATATCACATTCCAAGCACTAGTCTAACCTCTGGGAATATAGCAGTGAACCAAAGACATAAGAAGGCAGCCACCAGGAATTGTATGAGTTTTGCCGTTGTGAAGTTTACCTTCTAATGTGAGTTTTCTCTAAACATTTATTTAAATGAACTATATTGTTTTAGCCCAGGAAGAAACAAATAGATTAATGAACTAAATAAAATTCAAAATACATTGAAGTGATGTTTCAGGTTGCTTCTCTTATATCCATTCATGATAAATTACCTAGGGAATTTATGACAGCTAGGGCTTCCCTGGTAGCTCAGACGGTAAAGCGTCTGCCTACAATGTGGGAGACCCGGGTTCAATCCCTGGGTCGGGAAGATCCCCTGGAGAAGGAAATGGCAACCCACTCCAGTATTCATGCCCAGATAATCCCATGGACCGAGGAGCCTGGGAGGCTACAGTTCATGGGGTCGCAAAGAGTTGGACATGACTGAGTGACTTCAGCTCTTCAGCTCTATGTGCACACGCTAGTAAAGTAATGCTCAAAATTCTCCAAGCCAGGCTTCAGCAATATGTGAGCCGTGAACTTCCAGATGTTCAAGCTGGTTTTAGAAAAGGCAGAGGAGCCAGAGATCAAATTGCCAACATCTGCTGGATAATTGAAAAAGCAAGAGAGTTCCAGAAAAACATCTATTTCTGCTTTATTGACTACACCAAAGCTTTCGACTGTGTGGATCACAATAAACTGTGGAAAATTCTGAAAAAGATGGGAATGCCAGACCACCTGACCTGCCTCTTGAGAAATCTGTATGCAGTTCAGGAAGCAACAGTTAGAACTGGACATGGAACAACAGACTGGTTCCAAATAGGAAAAGGAGTACGTCAAGGCTGTATATTGTCACCCTGCTTATTTAACTTATATGCAGAGTACATCATGAGAAACGCTAGGCTGGAAAAAGCACAAGCTGGAATCAAGATTGTCGGGAGAAATATCAATAACCTCAGATATGCAGATGACACCACCCTTATTGCAGAGATTGAAGAGTAACTAAAAAGCCTCTTGAAAGTGAAAGAGGAGAGTGAAAAAGTTGGCTTAACGCTCAACATTCAGAAAACTAAGATCATGGCATCTGGTCCCATCACTTCATGGGAAATAGATGGGGTGAGAGTGGAAACAGTGTCAGACTTTAATTGTTTGGGTTCCATAATCACTGCAGATGGTGATTGCAGCCATGAAATTAAAAGATGCTTACTCCTTGAAAGGAAAATTATGACCAACCTAGATAGCATGTTAAAAAGCAGAGATATTACTTTGCCAACAAAGGTCCATCTGGTCAAGGCTATGGTTTTTCCAGTGGTCATGTATAGATTTGAGAGTTAGACTGTGAAGAAAGCTGAGCACTGAAAAATTGGTGCTTTTGAACTATGGTGTTGGAGAAGACTCTTGAGAGTCCCTTGGACTGCAAGGAGATCCAACCAGTCCATCCTAAAGGAGATCAGTCCTGGGTGTTCATTGGAAGGACTGATGCTGAAGCTGAAACTCCGGTACTTTGACCACCTCATGCGAAGAGTTGACTCATTGGAAAAGACCCTGATGCTGGGACGGATTGGGGGCAGGAGAAGAAGCGGACGACAGAGGATGAGATGGTTGGATGGCATCACCGACTCGATGGACATGGGTTTGAGTAAACTCCGGGAGTTGGTGATGGACAGGCCTGGTGTGCTGTGATTCGTGGGGTTGCAAAGAGTCGGACATGACTGAGCAACTGAACTGAACTGAACTGAATGTGCATTTGTTCTTTTTTCACCAATCTGTAACCATATCTCACTTTATAGCTTCCTATCATATACCATTCAGAAAAATAACATATATGTATTGAAGATAAGTTATAAGTAAATGAAGATACAGGTAAAATAAAATCATAAAAAGTACAAAAATTTAGGAGATTATATTTTAGCTCTTAGGGTAGGGAAGACCTTTCTAAGCATGACATCAAAGGCAGAAGTCATAGAGGGAAAGATTATTATGCTTGACTACATAAAAGTCACAAAAGTATGGTAAAACCATACAGAAGATATTATGGCCTAAACTGAAAACTTCTTGAAATGTATATATATGTACACACATACATGCATACATCCATGTTGTTCAGTCACCAAGTCATGTCCAACTCTGCAACCCCATGGACTGCAGCACGTCAGGCCTCCCTATTCCTCATCATCTCCCGGAGTTTGCCCAAGTTCATGTCCATTGAATCAGTGATGCTATCCAATCATCTCATTCTCTGTCTCCCTCTTCCCTTTCTGCCTTCAATCTTTCCCACCGTCAAGGTCTTTTCCACTGAGTCGGCTGTTTGCCTCAGGTGGCCAGAGTATTGGAGTTTCAACTTCAGTTTCAACATTAGTCCTTCCAGTGAGTATTCAGGGTGGATTTCCTTTAGTATTGACTGGTTTGATCTTCTTTTTGTCTAAGGGACTCTCAAGAGTCATGTGTATATATATGTACACACACACACACACACACACACACACACACACACACACACACATTTTATATGTAAGAATAGAAAAACACCTATGCCAGAATTTTGTAGTGACTTAAAGGTAAATTTTCTTCACCAGTCTCAGAGGCCATGAATTTATGGGTGACATTATCTAATGGGCTTTTAAAAGAAAGTAATAAGTAGAGGACCAGAGCACTATCCTTTGAGGTTAGAGCAATGAAGATTACATGCCTTTTCTTTCAGGGAAACTGGCCAAGGTAGTTTTTTGGACTAAAGGGATTCTTTTGATCTAATGTGACAGATTTCTTTTTTGATTATAGTTATATTTGTTCATGTCTATTTAAGCGCCTGTCTAACCATATGCTAGAATAATAGGAAGAAAATACTTTCATTATTATGAAAAGTAACTGTAGCAATCAACTTTTTGCTGTTGTCATTACTTTTATACCACAGTATATTCAGAACATGGATAAAATTAATGGCCTTTATACAACTTTCCCCTAAAATTACATAGCTAGTAAAAGAATTATGAATGTAATCCATTTCTTATTTCCTATTGTGACACACACTCTTATCTAGAATAATTTTTCACCC